AATTGAGAATGAGGTTTTCTCCTTCTATAGGAAACTCCATTTTAGAAGCTCAAATTCAACGACAGTCTTCATACATAATCAAATAATTTTTGTTATCAAGTACGAATCTCGAGACAAATTTTAACTGAAAACTTCCAAAATTAAATCCAGGACTATCCGAATTTCGATTTTAGCAAACTTATATTCAAAAAGAATGTCTGGAAAAAATGGACCTAACGACATCTAATTCGACCATATCCGAGCCCAAATGGGTTCAAATCAAGGACCCGAGGCACATTTGAAAGGTTCAAATCATAAATTTTGGACAAATCAAACGTTTTTGAAATGTGACATGCTTATAGTCAAATCGAGTGGCTTGATGAGATGAATCCAACGAGCCCAAGATTGTCGAATTCTGATATCATTAAGAAACTCAAATACTCGATAAACGGCTCATGATCAATGTAATCAATATTGTCAATCTATTCAAAATATTCCGAGCATGCCCTTGAACTTCTCTCTACTTACTGCTCATGATACTCTCATAAAATTAATGAAGAGAAATCAGAGAAGAGACCCCCTCATTCCTCACTGAAAGGGAACCAAATAAAGAAGAGTAGGAAGCTGAGAGGATCAATGAAGAGAAATTAATTAGAGTTCTCTTGCCAACATACTCCTCCTCGACCACCGCCCGGTCGTTGACCGTCATTGGACTTTAGTCCCGACTACCAACTATCACCGAACTTCCTCCTATCCACTAACTGATGCTGGATTTACTCTCGGTCACTGACTGTTGTCGGACTTTCGTTTAGCCCCAGTTTGTCGCTAGATTTCTGCTCGACTGCTGACTATTGTAATCCGATCATTCTCAAGTTCAAGAACGAATCAATCATTTGTAATATATTCAAACACTAATTGATCCATTTCAACTGGGCATTGCCCCGTAGTTTTTCCTTTCAGAATTTTCCACATAAAAATTCTTATATTTCTACTCTTTTTATTTGTGAGCTAGATACTCGTGCAACATTAAAACGTAAAATTATATACTTTTACTGCCCGGATATCCTAGCCCTCAACAGTTAAAGAAAATATACATGCAAGCATTAAAGCAAACAACTGTGGCTGTGCAAGGGAAAAAAACAAATATTAGGTAAAGCAGTTAGAGAGAGAGAGAGAGAGAGAGAGAGAGAGAGAGAGAGGTGCGACCGTGCGAAGGTAATTAGAAACAACCTTCAACATTCAATGACCCTCTTGATCGCACTATGGGTACTTTACATGAAAGCCAACCTGTGACTTGACCTATAATCCACATGTTTGTAAAGGTAAGTTAATCTTCACAACTTAATAATTATACAAAGAGTTGATATCTTCATCCTTTTTTTCTCTCCTTATTTTTGAGCCGATGAACGAATAATCATAAATGATATAGCAGTTAATGGTTAATCCAGGATTCGAATGCTGTTCTTCATCGAGAAGGAGGCCTCAATCCACGACGCCGCAGCTGAAGTTGTTCTTCCCTATCATTTCTCTATCTCTTGTTACGCAAAACAATGAGCTGTGCCTATACAATAGCCTATCTTCTACAGTTTACTCACAGCAGAAGAACTTCTCTGAATTTTAACCAAATAGAAAAATCAACAGGATTTTAAAAAATCAAACACGTGAATGATGAATTAATTTATCAACTGCTTAATGAAAAATTATTAACCGAGCTGATGCTTGATAGATGTTCTATTATTATTTTAGTCATCCGTTAGAAGATCAGTTAACAGTAATCATAAGCTTGAATCCATATAACGAGCGTCTAGAACACTTGAGAGATTATTGCGTGCAGATATATGACACAGAGAGCCGTTTGATTTTGTCTGTATAAACAGCAAAAACGTAGTAGTGAATAGTAAAAGTGCATCTCACTGTATTTTAACTGTTCATAGAGACAAACTGGACGGTTCTCTGTGTCTGATCTCCATAATAATTTCTCCTAGCTAGCTAAAACATTTGGTTCGTTTGGTTGCCTGGTGCTTTATCTCCTGTTGTGAGCTTTGGTTGGTGTTGCTTCTTTTATTCAGAGCCGACTCCCTTTGCTGTAAGTGGTTTTTTCTTGCAGGTGTTCGTGCAGACTTTTTTTTCTTTTCCATGTGTGTTGCTGCTCAATTTTGGCTTTCTATTGTTCATGTATTGGACTCCCTTTGCCTTCTCCTTGGTTTTTAGTGTTTTCATTTTGTTGTTTGTATTCTTGTATTAGTAAGACCATAGGCTCATTAGGTTTTGTTTCAAATGCTATTCTTTTAGTTAAACTCTTGATCCTTTAAGTGACTAGTATCCATTTTTTATTATTGACGTGTAAGCCCCTCTTGAGATTTTTCTCCAAAAACAAAAAAGTCTTTGAGAATTGGACCATGTGTAGAAGTACTATCATATTGAGGTCCATTAAGCTATTGTGAGTATGTTCCCTGAGTGATTGAGGTTTCGTTTGGGACGACTTTCTTAATGATTCTTAAAATAGTTTTAGTATAAAATTTTTAACTTTTTATTAAAAAGTTGTTAAAAGGATACATTTTAGACATCTTAGATCTATTGTTCAGAGTGATAGTGAAATAGATGGGGATATTATCAGCAGAATTCAAGTTAGATGATTGAAGTGGAGGAATGCATCGGGCTTGTTGTGTGATAGCTAGAAAAGTACCCCTCAAACTTAAGAGAAAATTCTTTAAGATGGTAGTGAGGCTTGCAATGCTTTATGATGCTGAATGTTGGCTATTAAAAGAGAAGCATAATACTAAGTTAAGTGTGACAGAGATGAGGATGCTCAGGTGGATGAGTGGCTTTACCCTTAGAGATAGGATACAAAATGAGCATATACGTGAAAAGGTGGGAGTAGCTCCAGTAGAAAATAAGAGTAGAGAGAGTCGACTTAGATGGTTTGGTCACATAAAACAATGACCTTTCAATGACCCGGTTAGGAGAGTAGAGGTATTAGATTTGACTTATGTTAAGAAAGGTAGAGGCAGACATAAAAAGACTTATTTGGTTATAAAATAATAGGAATGACCTTTCTTTATTAGATTAAACGAGAATTTGACCTTTAATAGGACACAATGGAGAAAAATGATTCATCTAGCCGACTCAACGTAGTGGGATAAAGGCTTGATGATGTTGTTGTATTAAAAAGTTATTCTAAAAACAGTTTCAAACCAAGCATGAGTTTCATTAATAGGAGAGCTTTTTGAATATAAGGTCGGAAAAACACATCTCTACGTAAAATTTTCATTCTCCTCTCTTCTTCAGCTGGCAATGATGAAATTTTTAGACAAAGTTTTGGAATAAATCTTAAAATAGAATATGATCCTAAATCATATTTTTGATTTTAAGAAGTTGATGTAAGAAGGACCCGCTCTTGTAAGCTATTAAGTCCAAGGAATAAAGAATTCCTGTGCTCCTTCTCCCTCTCTCCCTCTCTTGCATTCAAGATTTCCTCCAAGTTTTAACAAGTGGTATCAGAGCACACCGTGGAGGCCGTTCGCGAGTAGGATTGGATTTGCTTGTGAAGTTAGTGCAAGGAGCCGGTCGAACTACGGGTTGCGTGAGCAGGCCGATTGGCACAAGAGATATACTATTCGTTTATCTACTTATGTTAGGCTGGCTTTTAGGAATGGTCTGAAAACTGCTGATGCGCTGAATCTTAGAGGGATTCCAACTCCTAACTGCATTTTTTGTTCTTCGGCACCAAAAACCCAATTGCACATCTAATTTGAATGTGATTTCACCTTTAGCATTGTGAAAATATTATTCACACATTCAAAAAAAAAAAAAAAAAAAAAAAAAAAAAAAAAAAAAAAAAAAACTTGAATTGAATCAAACTGGAGACTGCTTCTAGAAGTTGATTTTACTGATAATGGTTTTTTTTTTAAAGTTAAAATCCATGAAGGGGCCTACGCGTTAATAACAAAAATCGGTTACAAAGTCCTTAAAAGGACCCACCAGCTCTCTACTGCTCTAAAGAGCTACAATAAAAAAAGATATAAAAAAACCTAGGAGCCGGTAGTTCCTTATCCTACGATTACAAAAATAATGAGCAAAGTAAACCGGGCTGTGATTAAACAGCACCCAAAAAAGGAAGATCCAATTAATCGCATTCAGCACGAACTTCCTGCAAAAACTCAAAATAGAAAAGGAAAAAAAAAACTGCAAAAAGGAAAAAGGAAGAAAGAAGAACCTTGCATCCAATAAAGCTCCCAAATCCACTGGAGTTTAGTAATCTGCAAAAGTCATATTAGTTGATTTTACTGATAATGGCTTAGATGTCAATCAATCAATATTTTATATAGCACCAAATTAGTAGCTATGGATCTTAGCTTTCTTCTCACAACCATAATGTTAGTTGAGGCCTAACGCTAACTTCTCCTTCATCTATCACCATCAAGACAATTATCTTTGTCTTTGATTTCGTCTTAGATTATTTTTTTACTACTTCTTAAAGTAGCCTTTTAGTACAAAATTTTTAATTTATATACTAAAAAGTTATTTTAAAAAGCATCAAAAAAGTCGACCAAACGAAGCCTCAGTCATTTCTTGAATTTTAGTTTTACTCTATGTCTTCATTTGATACGACTTTCTTACTGCATCTTAAAATAATTTTTTAATAAAAAAAATTAAATTTTTAACTATTTTTATTATTTATTATTTATTTATTTTATAATTTAGTATTAAGTAAAATATACTTTATATATTAAAAAAATTTGATTTAAGCAAGATAGTTGAGGGTTGGCTGGGCGAAGACCGTGGCATTATGTAGTTGTCATTAAAATACTCAAAACACCTCAAATTTGCTTGAGAATTTTTTTTTTAAATAATATGATTTATTTCTTAAAATAAAAAATATTTAAAAGCAAATACAATATTTTAAAAAATAAATAAAAGTTAAAAAATAACTCAGTGAAACTTACAAAGAATTTTTTTTTAAAAATCCAAAATATAATTACTTCTATTAACGCGTAGGCCCTTCAGTGAGATTTAACTATAAAAAAAAAAAACTTCTATTAAAAAAACCCTAAATAATACAATAACCATAGCCAGAGTTATTTAGGGTTTTTTATCAACATCTGATCCCTCATGCAGAGATATCTCTCAGTACAGATATAGTTCTTCAATTGACCAAGCCAGTCTTGCTTCATGTCCAGCTACCTAAAACAATTATGTTATCCGTAAAGTCAACAACCTCGATCAATCCTAACATCTCTGAACTGTTTCAGAGAAACAAATTATATCAAAATATTTCAATACAAAAAAATAATAAAGAAGAAGAAGATATTTAATATTACTGACCTGTTATTTAATTATATATCAGCTCCAGCCTCCATGCATACAGACTTTCAGACTGATCTCTCATGCAACAGGTTCTTATGCAGCTCATGCACCTCTTTTTCGTTGACCATTCGACCTTGAATCAGATCCCAATTACTCGTATAAAAATTCTACAAAAAATCTCTTTACAGATTTTGAAATTAATATATATATGGAGAGCTACAGAATCAGAAAGAATTGATTTGGTAGAGAAAGCCAGTTTTCTCTTGAAAAACTTACATTCCATGCAACCAAAAAAAAAAAGAAAATTTAAGCCTCATTGAAAAAGATGAAAAAAAAAATTTTTTTGTTGGAAATCTATTGAAATTTTAGACAGAATTATGAATCTTTTATGTTGGAAGTTCCAACATAATCTTCTGTTGATAATTTACATTAAGGATTCATTTGAGACGGTTTTCTTACTGCTTCTTAAATCAATTTTTTAGCACAAGAATTTTAATTTCTTACTATAAAATGCTTCAAGAAATAATGAGAAAGCCGTCGCAAACGAAGCCTAAATATTTTACATCAAGAAAATTTTAATGATGCATTACTTCAAACATCAGAAAGGTTTAGTAGCATATCATGCTATAATTTAATAGTATTTATTAGTAATTTAATTAACTTTAAACTTAAATCTAAACATAGGCAAAAGTATTCAACTCAAACAATTTAATCAACAAAAAGAAAATTTAAGCCTCATTGAAAAAGATGAAAAAAAAAATTTTTTTGTTGGAAATCTATTGAAATTTTAGACAGAATTATGAAGCTTTTATGTTGGAAGTTCAAAAATAATCTTCTGTTGATAATTTTCATTAAGGATTCATTTGAGTCGGCTTTCTTACTACTTCTTAAATCAGTATTTTAGCACAAGAATTTTAATTTTTTACTTAGAAAAATGCTTCAAGAAATAATGAAAAAGCAGTCGCAAACGTAGCCTAAGTATTTTACATCAAGAAAATTTTAATGATGCATTACTTCAAACATCAGAAAGGTTTAGTAGCATATCATGCTATAATTTAATAGTATTTATTAGTAATTTAATTAACTTTAAACTTAAATCTAAACATAGGCAAAAGTATTCAATTAATTCAAACAATTTAATCAACCCAGCAAAATTAATTATTTGGTTTATCAGAGCTTGCATGTTATTAACCAAAGCTTAATAAGGTTGATTAACAGACCCGATTCTATTGAATTAATTGTCTGTAACTGAACTTGTTTGCCGAATCGATCAAATTATTTTCCAAATAACAAATATTTTTGTTAAGATAAAACCTTGAATGTTCTGAAATATCAAAAAATACACTACAGTTTCAGAATTAAATTTGAAGGAGAATATTGTAAGCTAGCCCCTCTTTGATTGTGTTCAATAAGCAGATTATTATATAATGGACCTTTAAAAATGCTAATAAGGAGATAATCGATCGAATAATTATGCTTATTAATTAAATTCCTGAAGTAAAAATTTGTCTTCTTCCAGGTCGAACGGACAACGAAGAACAGGCTGATGAGCTTTGAGATCTGCTCTCTTGAGAGAAACCATGACGTCGATTTATGTTACACATACAGTATGATTCCACCACTGCGTCGATGTCCTAAAAAAAAGGCCAATTAACAGAAGAAAATGCTATATAGATAAATAATATTAATGGATGGACTACGTATGTACCTTTGAATGGTCCATCGCCATGGCCGAAAGCTCTCCAAATGTATTCTATTCTTGCTTGTTGCTTGGATGGAGAAGGCCAGCTTCATTTATAAGGTCGGGAACTCTAACTACCAGTACTGGAAGAGTTCACCTTCGGCTAAAGTTAAATATTGACTTGTTGTTGAGCATTCTCATGTGCTTTCCTAACTAGAAAGCTAATTTTCTATAATTGATATAAAAGGAAAAAAAAAAATGGTGTAGCATGTATTAATGGACCAACTTTAAGAAGAAAAAGTGATAAGAAATATATAATAAGATAAATTGAATGCAACAAACATGAGACATGACTGTTTATTTATGTGAAAATCATAAAATTTAGCTTAGTTGAAATAATATTATTGCTAAATTCCTACATTTTTATCTATTATGATGTGATTCATTTGAATTTTAATAAATATAAGTAATGCATCATAATTTTCTTTTAGCATTAAAAAAATTATAATATTTTTTTATGAAAAGAAATATAACTATTCTAATGATTTAATATTAAAATAACCTAATCCATTAATGCATTATTAAAATAACCTAACCCTTTAATATTAAAATATAAATTTTATCTAAATTCTTTTATAAATTCAAATTTGAGAATAAAAAAATTATAGAAAAATATTCATAAATTAACTAATTATGTCTAGAATATTATGGTAATCGGTTTGCAAAATGGATATATGAACACTTATGCCGATAAGCGTTGATTTCTTGAAAATAAACCTTTTTGATTTTTTCATTAGGCTGACATGAAGAGAATGCATAACAGAGAGCTTGGGGAGGAAGTTAGAAGAAAAAAAGAGGAGAGAGAAAGAGAAAAAGCTGGTTTTGGGGACTTCGAGCCGTTTTCGTTTGTCGCCCCAATTGGGAAATATGTTCATTAAGGTAAGTCATATTATGTCTATCTCAATTTTAAAAATACCTAGTTTTTTGTTAATTTTAGGATTAAAATTATGTTTCCGTTAGCAAAAAATCCGATTAACTTTGCACTGGTAAAACTTTTACATCATAATTTTTATATGTTATAGAGATTATGATTATGCACATTTTGAATATTTTTTAAAAATTTTATAACAAGGGTTTTGAAATTTGTGAGGTGTTCATTGAATATAAAATAATATTGATGTTGAAAAATAGTAGTGTATTACAATAAAACTCTTAAAATATCATTTTGTGCAATCCCTGATAATTTTATAAAAATGTGTATTTTTTCTTAGTGGGATTTTCGGTTGCCCGAGGTTATAAAAAACTATGTAATTTTGATACATGCTGACTTACTATTTAATTGTTATAATGTTATGATATATATTCATATGTTATTAAACTATATATGTTGGGAGTCATAAGGGGCCAAAATCCTCTGAAATTTTATTTGTGTTAGACAATTACTATGAGTAATTATAAGGGACCAAAATCTTTTGAGATTATGTCTGAGACATGGATATATGATATATTCTAGTGCTATAAGCACAAAAAAGAGCAATAAAAGGCCAGAATCCCTCGAGGTTCTGTCTAGGTTCAAGAAATATGATATGAATTTCAATTTATTTATTTGTTCAGTACTATTATTTAAATCATGAAATAATTATTATGCATTTATCATATCTCTCAGTATAGTGATTTATTTAAATTGTATTTAATTACTTTTAAATATTCAACAAAATATTTGATAAAAAAATATTTAGAAATTTAGATTGGCTTGTTTGGTCTGCTTAGTTGTTGTAGCTCACTGTGATTTTACTTCTGGTTTTAAGGATCTGGGAAGGGGAAGAAGATTGTGGACTTGCTCTTTAGGATCAAATTTGAGGTTATAGGTATTTTGCTATTTTTATTTTTGCACAGTCATGACTAGTTAATTTTTAGTTATGTAGCTTTTACATGTAGTCATATATTGTAATGTAAATATTTATTTTGATGAAATAAAAGAAACTTGGTGGACGAGTTTATTTTATGTATTAGAATATTTTAGTAAATTTGTAGTATGTAGTTTATTTTAATGAATATTGATAAAAAAATTGAAATAATTTCAAAAAAAGATCTTGGCAAGCGCCATAATGACATCACAAAAATAGCGCAATAGTGTTAGTTTATTATTGGACGCGACACTGCCAATCTTTCTAGCATCGCATCGACAGACACATGTTTTGTATTTATCTATAAATAGTTATTATGTTATGTTTATAATAGAGTTCATTCACTTAGATACTTTAAGTATAATTAATAGTGCTTCTTTGAATTTCCTTTAGGGCGTCAACTAATAAATTTTAGATAAGTATTTGATATCATCATTAGAGTGTTTGATTTGTGTTTCTAGAAGCAATTATGTAAGTAAAAAGGAGTATAGATAAGATCTATTAAACCTATCTGATGATATCTATCTCTCATATTATTTTTTCTATCATACTATCTATGGAATTGAGTTTGCTTCAACATTTCTTCTTGTCTAGCTAAATTCTCTAGTTTTAAAATGATGAAGTAAATATCATATGAAGTAGTAATGAGTTCTCTTATTCTATAAATGATTAAATAATATTTTTTATATTATTAGATCTTAATTTAATGCATATAATGGCTAGATATGTAGTTAAAATCAGGTGTAATGTGGAGCCTCGACGAAGGAAAGCATGCATAACCAAGAATATTGAATTAGTAGAGTATGAAACATACTAAATTTTTAAGGAGATGAAATAGTTATAGGAAGTTAATAGATATTCTTTGTTCCTACAAGCTCGACAGAAATTTAGGAATGCATATACTCTGACTAATATCACAATTAAAAGAGAATCATTAGGAAAAACATTTTATTTACATTCATCAAACAAAAATATTATATCCATATAGTATATTCATATTATTTATCTAATTTTATTTAAGTGATTGAATCTTCATGATAACTATTTTTATTTGAGTAGGATAATTGTTGTAATTTTAGTAGATAATACTAGTGAATTGCAAGTTAGCATGTATTTCTCGTGGGATCGATACTCTACTCTATCACTATATTACTTGATTCAGCACGTATACTTGTGTATATTAAGTGAAGTTTTTATGATTTTTATATCAAAGTAAACCTAAGCATTGTTAGAGATTGATAGAGTCTAAAGCATTTCACAATTCTTTAGGTTACTCCATAGTCCCCATTATAGGCTGAATTAAGTTCAATATAAGATTGGATTTCTTCTTCTTCCCATTTAGCAGAAGAGTTATCAGAAGGACATTCATCTTCAGTAGATTTAGGGGCTATTTTGGAGAGAGCTTCAAATTTGTTCAAATAATTATTTCCTTTCATATGACCAACAGATTGCTCACCCAGAGAAGCAGTATAAATGTTGTGAGATAGGAAGCAGAGGAAACAATCTGGACAGCATGGGAAATATATTCAGTCGCAGCAAGAGGGGCAATATTTTGATTAGTAGGATTACCAATAGATTTACCATCAGTTGAAGTTATTACAACAATAAGGTCGACACCCTCAGAGGCTTCTTTACAAAGATCATCCACCTTAAGCATTATTTTGTTTAGATCGAGGGCCAGTAACCAAGTCATTGGGTGGGTTTTTTGAAACAATGGTTGCATTAGGTATGATAGCATGAGAGTCTAGTTTGACAGATTCCTTATTTACTAAGGGTATAAGTTTGGAAGCATTTTTTTTTTCAAGTGTGGGCGAGGGCGATAAAATTCTAAATTTTTATTTCCAAGAGACTTACAGTGGGAACATCGTTTAAAACAACCATTTGAATATAACTAAAATTTTTTGAACCAATCCAGAGGGAATCAAGAAGCTCGATTTTGTAACATCAAGTTCAACCAATGTGCGAGCTATAAAGGGACAAATTCCTGAAGCCATAGCCCCATCAATTTTCAAGGGATGGCCAAACATCTACCCCAATCCATGTAAAATGCAATGAGACAATAGATGAAGCTTGAGAACATAAAATGAAATCCACACTGGGGCAATCGAAGATTCAACAAAATATCAAACATTGGGTCCATTTGATTAGTTTTATATAACAATTTAACACAATGTAAGCACGACGATAAAAAAATACTACTATAGTACATGTCATTAGAAAGTATGATAAGAATATGTTGAGGGTTCAAAGAGTAAAGGAGAAATCTACATAAAGTTTTAGCGAGAAGAAAAATTTACGGATCAAATCAAGATGAGGTCGTCTTGATGTGAACTTGCTAAGAAGAGCAAATTCAAAAGGAGCGGCTAGGGCATGAATTTCTTCCTTAGAAATTAAAAGGGTAGACATACAATGATTAGATGTATGTTTTAAGAGAGGAAAAGAGTTTGAAGAATCAGAGAATGCAAGGTTGGCCTTGAAAGATTTAGACTGATTTTTTGAAGACAAAAAACCAGGATCCACTTTCAAAGGAGGAAAACTATTATTCTTGGAGGAAGATGGATCCTAAGGACCCATAAAGACCAAGACAAAGAAACATGAAGAATAGCAAGCAAAAAAGGTCACGTAAGAAAAAAGCCGAAAAATGGAAATGAAAGAAAAAATAAAAGAAGAAGAAAAATAAATTAGGGAAAAGTTGAAGAAACTTCCCTCGGAGGCAAGATGATTAATGATCCGACGAGAAAGAAGTGAAAACAATAGAGAACACTGAGACCAGGGAGAGACGGGGACAGAGTACCAAACTCTAGTAAAGAGTTCAGAAGATATCCTTTTTCAAATTATCAAAGATTTATTTTTAGTTTTTTGTTTCATTATATAGCTATGATAAATGATGTATTTTATGTTTATGCAATGATCTTAATTTTGATTTGCAAGATTACCAAATCATTTATATTTTATGTTTTTACGAGTATGGACATGAAAATGTAGGTATATTTATAGATGGAGTGTATTATGATACCATATAGAATAACAAATTTTATGAGTTTGTCTTAAATAATGTTTATATGAGAGCAGTAGGGGCAAGCTCTCTATTTGATGTACATGGGAAGTTAGGCATCAGGTTAATAGACATATGATATGTTAAATAGGAGTTAACTTTTGAGAGAGGTGTCGATAATGAAATAGTTATATCTTAATATGATGATATCTTTTTAGGAAGAATAAAGCACGAATAAGATTTATA